TTCTCTTCGTTACTTAAAAATTATACTCTTCATCTCTTTTGATCATTATTTTTTTCTATTTTATGTACTTTAGCCACAAATATTTCTGCATGACTATGCATGAAATTATCATTAATAAGATAAAAATTATCCCCCAAAAAATAAAAGATTTGGATCAACATCTAAGCTAATCAATTTATCTAGTGATAAAAAAAATTATGAATAAAGAATATTGATCTATCTGACTTGACGAAATAGATTTATTCAATTAAGGAGGCAAAAGAAGTATATAACAAAACTATCGATAAATTATCAACTTTTTAATATGTGTCCTCAATCATACTTTGTTTACAGTATATATCATGATATAACAAATAGAAAATTTAAATGAAAATAATGGTATTAATAATAGTAACATTAATATCCTTATCAAAGGTTATTTTCATAAAAAAAAATATGTATTGAATATACAACATAATATAAAATTATCTTTAGCCATGATTGTTCAAGAATAAGTCTTTGGATGAACATATCGGAACTTTTTGAAATGATACACTCAAAAGTAATTAGTATCTTTAAATCTATGCCTTTTGAAATGATACACTCAAAATCGATGCCTATAGCTTGATTAATAATGATACGCCTATAATATATACTGTACATTATCAATAGGAAATGCTTCACCCTTAATGTTTATCATTCATGCTTTTACTCATCATGATCTAAAATAAGTTTGATAATCTCCTTGTGTTTGACGAGTAAAAATAATTTTATTTGCCCATTAACTATTATGTAACCTCATATTATACTCATAACAACAAGGACCAAATCAAATATCTTAAGATGACTTATGTAATTCTCAACGTCGGCATCTACCAAAACCGTCTGGGTGACTTTTTCTTAATATAGGTCACATGTAAGATAACATTTAGGAAATTTTGTACCAAGAAAATATTTAATATTTTTTTATAGAAATAGTTCATTTTTGTTGTGCCATCTCCGTAGGAAAGCATCGTAATCCCAGATTTAAAGAATTAAAAATCAAGCAGATGATCTATCTATTGTCAATGTATTGGCTCCCAACTTCTTGTATTGGCACCATTTGATAACTTGAAAACCCCTTTGATTTTAGTGATTCGTAAAAGAATTCTCGTTCAGTTTTGTTTCTCCCCAAACCGGTCTTCTAAATATCTTATAAAGTGTCGATATAATTTCAATTTCTTTCTTCACTTATGATAACAACACACTCTCTATAAGTACAGAGATGATGTAGCAGAGGATGTGTTTGGCTTTGACCACGATATCCAAGTCATCACGGATCAGCTATGTGATCTCAATGTAACACGACGTGCCGTCATTTCCATCGTCGGCATGGGTGGTTCGGGCAAAACCACACTTGCCAACAAAGTCTACAATAGCCAAGCCGTCAAAGATCATTTTCGGTGTCGGGCATGGATAAATATGTCACAATCGTATACAGCTAGAGAACTCTTGACCAATATCATGAAGCAAACTCTGAACATAGAGAACAATCAAATTAGGGAAATGGCTGAACAAGAGGTGAAAAACAAGATCAGGGAGCATTTAAAAGGAACAAGGTATCTGGTGGTGATGGATGATATCTGGAAGGTATCAGATTGGGAAACAATCAATACAGCCTTTCCCGAAGAATTCACAGCATCTCGAGTACTGCTCACCACACGTAAAATGGATGTTGCCGAAACTGCAGACCCGGACAGCCCTCCGCACCATCCCAAACTTCTCGAGTGGGAGGAAAGTTGGAATTTGTTCAGCAAAAAAGCATTTTCTAATGCATGTTGCCCACCTCATTTGCAGCATTTTCAGGATAAAATCATCCAAAAATGTGGCGGATTACCTCTGGCGATCGTGGTTTTAGCCGGGTTGCTACGGAGGAAGCATGGAGCTTATGAGTGGAGCCAAACCTTGGAACGTATTTCTCATGCACCTAACCAAACCGATGATCAAACTCACAAAATATTAGCTCTCAGTTACAATGATCTACCTCAGCATCTCAAGTCTTGCTTTCTTTATTTTGCTGCATTCCCGGAGGACTACGACATCGGCGCTGATAGGTTGATGCGTTTATGGATTGCCGAGGGTTTCGTAGGATCAGACCAGGAGGGTCAAACAATGGAGGACCTGGCAGAGATGTATTTGATAGAGCTTATCAACAGGTGCATGATACAGGTGGAAAGAAGGAATGAGATTGGGAGTGTGGTATCTGTTCGAATCCATGATCTACTGCTAGACCTGGCTCGTTATGAATCTAGAAAACTCAATTTTTGCAGATCCATTAGCGACAAAGGCGATTCAACTGATGTACGACGTCTTAGTATCACAGATGATGAAGGCGTGCATCGATATACATCACTCGGTTTCTCTATCCCTAAACTACGGTCGCTTCTTTTCCTCCTTACATATGATGTCGATATGCCAAGCAAATCTATGATTCATGGATTCAAGTTTCTCAGGGTGTTGGACCTCCAGTTTGTATCCATTAGAAGCTTACCAAGTGAGATCGGAGACTTGATCCTATTGAGGTACTTAAACCTGACATTTTCAAATGTAAT